TTCAATGTCCGAAGTGTCATGTTCTATAAAAGAAGAATATAATTGTGTTTCTCAAGAGTTAAGTTTGAACTGTTTGATATATCCTGATGGGTAAGATAGATATTAGAATTAAAATCAATCTTAGTCTAATCGTTATATCTTATTAATAATAAATACTAATTATTATATCACAGTTCGAGTTAACATTTACTCGATATATTTCTTTCATTGATAACAATTAAACTAAATCGAATATAATACAAATGCCATGATCTACTACACTCGAACCTATTCAGATTTTTTTTGTTTTTCAAAAAAAAAAAAACAAGTTGTGTCAAAATTCGAGCTGTGACAGGTGACAATTCTAATAACTGGTTCTATTTTGAGGAATGGGTTGATTGTCTTATTCTTTTTTTGATAAATAATTCTAATGATCGTTTTTGTTTTCAAATATAGTTGCTCTATCGAAAATGGTGATCTAGAGATTTTAGTGAGTAGTTGTTCCAGTTGTGGAAAAAACAAATAGAATTGAATAGTAGATCCAGTTCTTTGATTGGGAACTCTCACAGATACACTCAAAATCAATTGACGATAATTTTCAAAGAAAATTTCTTTTAAGTTTAATCATTATAATGATTTCTATGTCAGTTTCGACCTCTCAGATGACTGGTAGGATCTCAATCTGACAATTGTTCACTCTGAAGAACTCTATCTCATTTATAGAAAACGAATTTAAAAATATTTGTAAGATTGATCGAATTCCAGTAAAATCTCTCTGTTGAAAACAGAATTGAAGTCATTAAAAAAGGGTTGACCATAGTGAGGTGTTGTGACGTATCGAGAGTAAAAGTATGGTTTCCTGTTAAACAAAGAATATATTCAATAAAGTCGACTGTCCATATGAGTCCGAGATAAAGACTTGCTTATTCAGTCTTTTGTTTATGTTTTTACCTAAATAACTCAATTTGAAAAATATTTCAATTAGAACACAAAATTGAATTGTTTTTTTGAAAAAAAATCCATTATTCTTGTTTTCCATATTGCTTTTGAATTGATTATTTTTGCAGGTTACTTTACAGATTATTGACAGAGTTGACCATCTAGTTTTTCTGCATTGACATCTATTCATTTTCGTTTCGAACTTTAAGTCTGATGTATCCTATTATTATTTAAATATTTGATTTTATATTCTAAAATATTTGATAGAGAGCCGATTAATATAGTATATAACGAGTGGGGCAAAATTTTTGCATTAATTTTGTTTTTTATGTAGCACTGTAATGGAATCTCGTAGAGATTTTGTTTTTTTTTTTTATTAGAAAGAGTAAAGTGTCTAGTGCAAAAATATACAAATGAATATCATTGAAAATGTTTGATAGAGATTACAGAAACTTTAGAACGAAAAACACTGAAAAATGATTCTGCAACTTTTTTTTAAACTTGGAAAAGATGTGATTTAATCTGGCCGGTTTTATTTTGACTCTTCTAATCCGAGTTTTACGATGTAGGAGTAGTGAAGTCTTGTAGCACTAAAAAAGAAGCCCTTTGTATTTTTATAATGGTTGAAACGAACTCTTTAATGATATTGTCTAATCTCTACATTTTTTCATCACTCTCGATTACAGTTGAAAAAATAAATTCTATTCGAAGAGAGAGATTGTCGGAAATTATATATTTCATATGAAAATAAAAGCTTAGTGAGTTCTCTATCGCACGATATTAATTGAAATAGGATAGAGATTTTCTGTGTGATATTCAACCAAAGATTTGTTTTCGTATTGGAAATCATAAATTGGGAAAATAAAATTTTTTAATGATATACTCTTCTGTTTATTCTCTTCGATGGTAGATCAATTGTTCTAATACTACATCAACGGGTTCTTTTAAATAACCAACTATATATATACGGTTGTCAAAAACACTGCATAATGATGAAGAAAAAGCTCAAACAAATATTTTCGGATTAAAATATTCTCACCAAAGTTGCGGAATCATTTTTCCATGTTTTCCGTTCTAAAGTTTCTATAATCTCTATCAAACATTTTCGATGATATTCATTTGTATATTTTTTGCACTAGACACTTTACTCTTTCTAACAAAAAAAAGATAAAATCTCTACGAGATTCCATTACAGTGCTACATAAAAAACAAAATTAATGCAAAACTTTTGCCCCACCCGTTATTTCAATCTATCAACGCTGTATTAAACCAAGAAAGTCTTGATTATTATCAATCAATAGTACTTTTATTGGAAAGTTATCTCATCTTATAATATTATTTATTATTTCCCTCGTACAGCAGTCGAATCATAGAGAAAATCTATCTACTCAAAGTTCATAATAGAGATATGATAGAAAAGACACAGAAATCGAAAAATCATATTGACAGAAGAGATGTTATAATAGGAAAATAGACTAGGAACAAGTTTCGATTGTTCATAGTTAGGAGATGTTCAGATTAAAGATAGGTATTTCCAACGATAATTGCCTTCTTGAATCGAAGCTCGTTGATAGTAAATAAGTGTTAAGTTGATAAAGGTGTCCATTTATAAAAGATGAGCGAGAATAAATGGGTGGATTTTCTATTATATTCTTTGATTATCTAATTCATCTTATTATAAAAGAAAATATATCAACGAGATAGATCGTGAAAATCTCTACAATCTAGAAAGGTAAAACTGATTTAAATTGTATACTATTTGTTTTCAAATAAAGCTAACGTTCCGTTCGATCAATTTTCGACGCTTCGAAATGTTGGTTTATAAAATTTCACTGTTTTTTTCAAAGGAAAAAGTACGGACTAATGTCAACTTTACTTTGCAGATTGTCAAATTTTTCACGTTGGATCTTTCCATATATTTTCTTTTTTTAATAAAATCTATTAGATGATGAAAAAATAAGATAAAAATGTGACCATTTATTCTGGTCCAACCATGAAAATTAAAACCGCATGATTTGATGTTTACTCATGTAATAAAAGCTAAGGAAAATGAATTGAAATCAATCATGTTTTTATTGAGGAGATAAAAATCTGATTTTCATCTGGACAGATAGATTTTTTTTGATTTTAATCGTTTTAAAAAACGGTCAATTAAAATCAAATTTTTCGTGCTTTTCATTTAGATTGAAAAAATAAGAGCGAGGATTTATTCGAAATATCGAAAGTCTAATACCTGTTTTAATGTGAGACAAATGATGACGACTAAGTTTATTGACTTACATCTATAGAGATAACCAGCTCAATTGAATTATAGTCAATATTGTTAACTATAACAAAATGAAGTTCAACAAAACCTGATCTCATCTTATAAATAAAACTCTTCTTTTCGAAGTTGATCTTCATAATGAAATTCGTTATTTAGACTTTAATTTCGATAAAAATCTCATTTAACTTAGTCAATGGTTAACATTTCCTATGTTTTTAAATTGATAAACATAAAAAAAAAAAACTTATCTAACTCCATAAGACTAATCGAAGCAATTTTGTGAGTTATATTTAATTGATCAATAAAATAATTTCGATGTTCAATAATGAAATTTCGGAATAAATTTACTGAATTGTCAATAATTATATCGAATGATCAATAATGATATTGAATGAGCGATAACTATACTGAATCAGCAATAAATATATTCAATTGGCAATAGTTTAATTGAATCAATGGGAAATTTTATATGAAAACGGACCAATATGGATTTATTTTATAATGGCACATTCCAAACATGTCCTATAAGAGAGAGAGAGAGAGAGTTCTCTTATAATATACAGGGTGGTCCAAAAAAAAACTTAGCCCTTTTTCTAATAGATAGAGCCAGTAAAAGCCTACTAGATCGAGATATATTTATTTTCAAAACATTCGACTACAGTTGGAGACAAACAGTAAACTGATTAGATATGAAATCTGTGCTGTAACGGTAGACCTTCACCGAAAAACAAAACATACCTATCACTAACAGTTCCTTATGGGTTAAAGTTCGGTGTAGCTGTAGAGGCGTGAGTACTAGTATACTCACTGCGGATATGTTTTGATCAAAAATGGATTGGTTTTTAAAGATTTTTTTTCGTTTTCATAAAATTATTTAAGTTTGATGCTAATTGTTGCTCGATTCTCTTTATTATATTATAGTTTGTTTCTCATTTATCAAATAAAGATTTATCGACAACTGACACATATTGTTCTACCTATTGAACTTGTCGGAAACCAAAGGAGAACCAGAATTCCAAGGACTCCTTGGCACTTTAACCAGTCAGGATTGGTGGTAAGGTGAAGAAATTCAAGAATATGAAGGATTCCATCGCATTTAGTTCGGGCAAGATTAATGGAAAAAACAAGGCTTTTCAGACAAGTATTAGTTTCGCAGGTGTTGGCGTGTGCAGGGATCATTAGAAACCTCAAAAAAATCAAGTTTCTTAATGACTTTTAGTCATTCTTAATGAATAGGAAATTTCGAATTTTTCAACGTTTCCAAGGTTTCGGAAACCTTGCATAGTACCAGCGTAACGGGCTAATGGATTGAGTCAGATGTTGTGTTATTATGATGTAAGTGGATTTACTAGAATTCTTGAGAGAAATCTAAGGATTTCATGGCGTTTTATAGTGACGAAAACGGTTTTTGGAATGACTGTGTCCAAGGGTTCGAAGGTTTCTCATGCATTTCGGAAGTCGTGATATCAATAGAAAAACTAAGGATTTACAGAGAACTATTAGTTGTTCAGGTGTTGAACAGTGTCAAGCAATCTCAATAACATCTAAATACAAAGTTTCTTCATGACTTTGATTCATTATTAATGAATAGGATATTTTGAAATTTTTCAAGGTTTCGGAAGCCTTGCGAAAAACGGGTTACTGGGTTACTGGGTTGAGTCAGATATTTTGTTTTGTTTTAGTAGCGCATACTTTATTAAAATTTTTTAAGGAGTCCAAAGATTTCGGCGACGCTCCCCTCCATTCAATGACTGAAACGTTTACAATATAAAGAAAAGTTTTTCTTTTTTTTTGGTTTCCTAGTTCTTTACTTCACTTATTGAATTCGATGTTGAATTTTTGCACTCGATGATTTTTCTAATCGACGACATAGAGATTGTCGTGTTGATCGAATGACAAATCTATAGGTTAATTGAATTGATTTGCTTGTTCTCCTCTACGGTTTCCACCAACAATGACACTTTCATGTGTGGCTCCTTTGAGCCAACGCATGATTCGATCATTCCCATGATCAGCCACATAGACAGTGTTTAATTTATCGGCAACGACTCCTTAAGGATATGACAATTGTGTAAGACTATTTTCTTGTTCTTGACCACCAGCCACGACAATGGCTTGTTTTGCTCCTTCCACCCACTTCGTCACACGATGATTTCTGCAGTTAGACACGTACACTGAATGATTTCGTTGGACGAATACATGTCGTGGGAAAAGAGAGTTGATCGAGACGATTTGGGTGTGGGTGTATTATTCTTAACCCACTGCCCACATCCACACTCACACACACCCACACCATATTCCCACTCATCGTTTATAGTTAAAATCATTTGAATATTTAAACTATGGTTCTACTAGATATAAGAGCATACGAAATAAGTGAGTGATAGAAAAATATCAAGTACGAGATAGAAAAACTAACAAGTCTGCAAGAGAATATTTAAACTGTCAGTTCCATTATTGGCAACGGCAATATCTAGTTTTCTGTCGTTATTAAAGTCTCCAACGACAATAGAGAATGGATTGGATCCGTAGTCCAACTGAAATAAGATGATACTTGCAAATATGCCGTTACCATGTCCAAGAAATACACCTAGATAATTGGTATCATAAATCGCGACGACAATGTCTTGTATAGCGTCGTTGTTAATGTCACTTACAGCTAAAGAGTATCGAGACGAACTTGAGCTTATTGGATACATCATTTGATTTCCAAAAGAGCCATTGCCATATCCAAGAATAATACTAACACTGTCTGACTCACAACTAGCAAAGGCGATATCTACTAGAGTATCATTGTTGAAATCACCAACAGCCAGAGAGCATGGAGATAAATATGGGTGAATGGAATATGTTACTTGATTTGTAAAAGATATATTACCATATCCAAGAAAAATACCAATATTGTGCGCACCTGAATTAACGAGGCCAATATCCATTAGATCATCATTATTAAAATCGCTAATTACTAAAGACTGTGGTCGAGAATCATTTCCAGTTACCAGTATCATTTGCTTTACAAAAACTACATTCTCATAGCCAAAAAGGACACTCACATCATTGCTACCCGAATTGGCGACAACGATATCTAGTCGAGTGTCGTTGTTGAAATCACCAACAACTACAGATGATGGATAGTGGCCAGCTAAATACCTTGTTTGTTCTGCAAAAGAACCATTTCCATTTCCAAGAAGGACACTCACATTATTGCTATAATAATTGGTAACAACGATATCTAGTCGAGTGTCATTGTTGAAATCACCAACAACTATAGATTGTGGCCCAGAGCCAACTAAATACCTTGTTTGTTCTGCAAAAGAACCATTTCCATTTCCAAGAAGGACACTCACATCATAGCTACCCGAATTGGCGACAACGATATCTAGTCGAGTGTCGTTGTTGAAATCACCAACAACTACAGATAATGGAGAAGAGCCAGCTGAATATCTTGTTTGATTTTCAAAAGAACCATTTCCATTTCCAAGAAGGACACTCACATCATTGCTAACATAATTGGCGACAACGATATCTAGTCGAGTGTCGTTGTTGAAATCACCAACAACTACAGATTGTGGAGAAGAGCCAACTGAATATCTTGTTTGTTCTGCAAAAGAACCATTTCCATTTCCAAGAAGGACACTCACATCATTGCTAAGCCCACTGGTGACAACGATATCTAGTCGAGTGTCGTTGTTGAAATCACCAACAACTACAGATTGTGGAGAAGAGCCAGCTAAATATCTTGTTTGATTTTCAAAAGAACCATTTCCATTTCCAAGAAGGACACTCACATCATCGCTACCCAAATTGGTGACAACGATATCTAGTCGAGTGTCGTTGTTGAAATCACCAACAACTACAGACCATGGAGAAGAGCCAACTGAATACCTTGTTTGTTCTGCAAAAGAACCATTTCCATTTCCAAGAAGGACACTCACATTATTGCTATCATAATTGGCGACAACGATATCTAGTCGAGTGTCGTTGTTGAAATCACCAACAACTACAGATTGTGGAGAAGAGCCAGCTGAATATCTTATTTGATTTTCAAAAGAACCACGATTGTACGCAACAAAGATATCCACATGATTACTTCCACCGTTAGCGATTACGATATCCGATCGTTTGTCATTATTAAAATCACCAGAAGCCATAACTAACGGAGGTGAATCAAAACTAATTTCATAACTTGTTTGAATTGCAAATTTTCCCTTCCCATTTCCAAGTATCATATCTGCATGCTTGGTACCATTATTGGCTAAAGCAATATCCAGTACGCAGTCACCATTGAAGTCCCCAACCGCGATGGAAATCGGATGAGAATTCGCACCAGTGCTGAGCATCATTTGGTTTTCAAAACTACCACTTCCATATCCAAAAAGGACGCCAATATTATTAGTGCCATAATTAGCTAAGACGATATCCAGGTTAGTATCGTCGTTCAAATCGCCAATCACTACGCATTGTAGACTAGATCCACGACCAGATGCATACGCCATTTTATATGCTATCGCTCCTCTGTTATATTGCAGCAGGACACTCACATCATTGCTATAATAATTGGCGACAACGATATCTAGTCGACTGTCATTGTTGAAATCACCAACAACTACAGATGATGGATACTCGCCCGCTGAATATCTTGTTTGTTCTGCAAAAGAACCATTTCCATTTCCAAGAAGGACACTCACATCATTGCTATAATAATTGGCGACAACGATATCTAGTCGAGTGTCGTTGTTGAAATCACCAACAACTA